AAGCTTCCGATCTGGCTCCAGGTAGAGGCAGCAACAGTATCTGAAGCCTCATTACCGGTCTTATTGTTTTCTAACACGGGTTCTTTTAACAATTCGCTCAGTCGTAATTTTGTTGTTAAACACTCCTTAAAGATATTAAGTCAAATTAGGAAATCTCTCAAACAACCTGATTTTTCAGTAGGAATGCCAATAATACATAACTACTTGTTTAAACCAGGTAAAATGGATAGGGTGTTTTTAGAATGGGGGGAAAAGGGATTGAAATACATTGAGGACTTATATACAGATGACAAATTTATGTCCTTCCTTCAACTTCAAGAAAAGTTTCAATTACCTCAATCACATTTTTTTCGTTATCTTCAAATAAGGAATTTTGTTCAACAAAACTTTTCAGACTTTCCACTGAAGCCACGAAGTTATACTTACTTTGATATAATTCGGAAAGCAGATTTTAAACATTTGATATCTCAGTTTGTTAAGTGCTTTACAATCCCAGTTGATTCCGACCGAATTAAGAAAACATGGGCTGAAGACCTCGGGGTCCCTCTGTCTGAAGACCAATGGTCAAATTGTTTGTCCAATATTCAGAAAGGCTCAATAAATGCCAGATATAAACTAATCCAGTTTAAAGTCATTCATAGACTACACTTTTCTAAACTTAAACTTAACCGGATCTATAATTCTGTATCCCCCTTATGTGACAGATGTAAAGTCGGTGAAGGTTCCCTTGCACATTTATTTTGGCATTGCCCGGTTTTGAATGCTTTTTGGAGCCGGATTTTTATGTGGTTTTCAAACCAATTTAGGAAAAAAGTACCACGTGATGGTACATTGGCTATACTTGGATCATTTGCATCAGTCGAATCTTTTTCCTTTTCACAAAAACAGATAATTACAATGGGTATGCTGGCTGCAAAGAAACTTATTCTTTTACAGTGGCGGTCTTCTTCGGCCCCGTGTTTTAACAGGTGGCTTAATGAGATGGTGTCTGTGGCCAGGGTGGAGCAGATAAGATTTGATAGAGAGGGGAAACTGGCGAGTTTTTGTATGATTTGGCAACCATTTCTAGAATTCTTAAAAAAATAACTGATCATAATTCATGCCTCACACTCCGCGTGAATTATTTTATTTTATTTTTTTTGTTTTTTTGTTTTTTTCTTCCTCTTCTTTTTCTTCTTTTTTCCTTTCTTTTTTTTTCCTTTCATGCTTATAAGTTCACAAATGTTAAAAACAGTAATTGTTCTTGGTTGATTTTGTATAAGCATGTTATGTTTAATTTAAATGCAAAAATAAAATTTAAGAAGCTTTGAGGGATGGTATGAAGTATTGCACACACACATTGCATCTGTATATAATGAGTTTTGCCAAATTATGTTTTTTCATATCATGAAACGTGAAAGAAAGCATATCAAGTTTGTGTTATTCAAATCTTGCATGAAAATACTTTGTAGTCTTGTGCATGATAAACATGTTAGATTATCGTACTGTAGTGAATTTATAGTTGTGTTGGACATTTGAACACTGGCTGTGAGGCTCATGGTCAGTGTTTGGTTACATCAAGTGTTACAGAATAATTTGCATTTTAAGCTGATGACGCTTAATTATTTCACCGAATTCCACCTTTATACTAACTGTATTGGTCTAGTATAAAGTGTATAGGAAGTATACTGTCAGTGTAGGAAATGGAAATCACCCAAGGTAGCTGTGACATGTCCTCCTGTTTCTTGCCTGTATGCAATAACATCCTGGAGTCTTCTCATCACCATGAGTTTCAGAGGAACATAGTGCAGATATAAACCTGTAGAGTAATTCTCAGTCAGTGTCTCTGTCACTGGTATTAGGCAGTATTACATATACATGACTCACAACCCCCCTTGGCAATAGGTCTTACCGTAGTTAGAGGGGCTTTCAGACTGATAAATAATTTACTACTCAGAAATCATAGAACAGATTTCACTCCCCATGCTCCAGTTTCATATTTTGATATGTTAAAAACCTGATATAGTAGATGATGGTCCTCTGAGGAGCAGCCTCCTATATCTCTTTCCTTACTCTCTTTTGTTCTTCTGACTCGCTTTTTCCACCTCACACGTTTTCCCTGCAGTCACACATTTTAGATGTATTTTCTAACTGAATAATAATATATGAATAGCAGTACAGCGTATAATGTTTACGTGTCAGTGAGTGAAGCTGTTGTGGGACAGTCCTCTGATTTTACACATTATATAATAACTGATTTAAAAGACAAATGATCAGCTAATTTATTGTGATAATGTTTAAATTTAGCTTTATTACTGCAATGTTTTATTTTGTTTATGCATGCGACAACTAAGTTTGTTGGCTCTGCATGCTGAGCTATATTTTTAAAAAATAATCCATTATTTAAGAAACGATGACTTCAGAGGACTGAAATGAAATAAAATAAAATTTAGCCTAAAAAAAACAGTTTCCAATGCCAGCGAACATACCAGTTATTTGTTATTTATGTGTAAATAATTTAAAAAATTTCAGCAAGTTAACAGAAATCCATTTATTTTTCCAAGAGTGAGACCTGTCTTCTACCATCTTACTGATCAATGGCAAAATCCAAAAATCCAAGAAGTATTAACCCAAAGTAACTAAAACATGGCCTTTGTTAACAGTTTATCTGCTCCGTGTTTACAGCACTGTGAAAAATTATTTTAAAAAGCATTCAGTATTTACTCAGGTTATGTAAAAAATAAAGAGGCCCAAATACTTTTTCAGAGCACTGTACCTTTGTCAGAAGCTGGTTTGTGAACTGAAAGGATCTTTAGGCTTTAAAGTTGAAGTTCTTTTTCTTGATACAAACATTTTTTTATGGCAAACAAAAATCTTGTCTCTTACTGAAAACTTGGAAGGACGGTGGAAGTAATGCATGCTGTGATTTGAGATCTAAATATTCAGTGCATAAATTATGTATACAGCTTTAAATCATTACCATTGTCCATAAGGCTTTAAATGGGTTAAAACAGGTTTAGTTTAGGCTGGATTTAGGTTGCTTGGATGAATAAAGCTTGCAGTAAAAAGTGCTTAATGCAAAGTTAGAGTAAATCGTATTCGCCAGTCCAGTCCATGTATTCATAATTATAACTTAGACATCAACAACAACTCTGTGCAAAAATAAGAGCAGTGAGGCAGAACATTAGTAGCTTAAAGGCATGAGACTATTTGTTGTATAGGCTTACTCTTACAAACACAGACACACTCCCAAACACTCTCTCACACACTACCTGTAACACTAGCTGTGTTGAATGGGCCTGTGGGATTGCAGAGTTAAATGACCAATTAACTGAGCCAATCAATACAGCTCCCACTTCACCAGCCTAATTAACTGTTATTGTATCAAGAGAGCTATTATAGCCCTGTGTATTGTTTATTGTGTTTCAGAGACAGTCGTATCACGCTCTGTGATAACACATCTCCTCCTGTAATTGTAGCCACACAGTCAAGCCACACAGTAGCACATAATAATGTCACGCTATTAAGCTTTAACAAGGTATTAGCAAGTGCTTAAGACATCATTTATATGGCATTACCTCTCCTTAGTTTGTAATTTACGACATGTTTATCCATCTGTTACTGTTATGTACTTAATATGCACAGTTAGACAGTTGTTGCCTTGTACGAAAAATAGCCCCTTATTTTACAGTTAGGCTCACCTTAGTGCTTTATCTCTCTCTCTGTCAAAAAGCGTAGAAGTGTGTGTGTGTGTGTGTGTGTGTGTGTGTGTGTGTGTGTGTGTGTGTGTGTGTGTGTGTGTATAGATAGATAGAAACGTGTATTATACTATGCATGCTGCATTGTAGAGTTCCATGTCCTTGCCTGTGCGCGCGCGCGCACACACACACACAGACATAGTGTAGAGCAATAGAAAGATACTTAATTCAGAGCATTAATAATTAAAATGTCTGTCCACCATTATTGATGTCTGTGGGTGCAAGATGATTCCCTGAACCACAGTCTCATGTGTATGTTCATCTGTATGCCTCCATTGTGCCTGTAAATGTATTTTCAGTGTTTGTGTGTCTTTTTTTGTCACAGTGATTGATCACTGTTAGAACATTGTTGGCAATAATAACACAAATTTTCACAAAATCTGCTTTCTGAAATAGGGTCCATGGGTTTGTCATTTAAGTTGCACACTGTAAACCTTGTTTGCAGCCTGAAATCTTGTTTTTACATACAGTCCTCTTCAAAATGGATCTAAAAGTGGACCAAGATAAATTTCTATGTTCACATTGTGAGGTGAAAGATAACCAAGTTCACTTGCTTTTTATTTATGCTCCAGTGGTTCCTCAGACCTTTTTGTTCATGCTGTTGTTGTACTCTCACACTTCTGCTCTTTTAGATTTAGACATTAGAATTTCTCATTATTTTCAATCAGTCTGTTACCTGGGAAATTAATCAGCAAATTAATCCACTGTGATTTGGCGCTAAATACCGGTAGATAAAATTGAATTGAACTCATATGAATTTTAAGCTTATAAAAACCTTCAGCTCAGCCTTAAGGTCAGAGGTCAAGTTTTCTGACAATCTCGTGAACGTGATAGTTCGAGAACAAAGTGACAGGATTTTCAAATTCATACCATATGTGTATCTACTAAAAATCTTGAATGAGATCAAATTTCAGTGACCTTGAGCCTTTAAAGGCAGCGGCAAGAAAAAAAACATGAAAACATTTTTTCACTGTATTTTTTCCTCATTTGGGGCCACAGTAAATATAATCTTTATTCTTTTGTTCAAACAACCCCGTCTTTTTTTTTTTAGATAGAGGTCTCTACCAAATGGTTGAGTCACCAATTTATGGTAAAACTCAGAATACCTAACTATATTAGAGACAATCAAATAAAATTCTTGGACTCTCTTAAATCTCCAATGCAAAAGTCATAAACCTTCCTAAAATGTTTGTTAGTTCAACAAAATCAAGTGTCCCAGCCAGTTTGGGGGCATTAAAATCCCTTAGCACAATTGCAGCCTGTCACATTGAAATAGCAGATGTTTGTACTTGTGCTAACACACATCTGGTAGTCGTTTTGAGGGTCTTGGGATGTAGATATGATGGATATATTCAAACAGGGATGTATCTTGACTATGCCGGAGTCTTGAACATGTGTAAGAGCATGTCAGAAAAATCAGTACACCCTACAGTCCCGATCAATGGCAAAAAATCCTATTTTGGGAGTGAGACAAAACAGTCTTTTGAGCATGTAATTTATTGAAAATAATGCTTAAACTGAAACAGGCTGTTTTACAGCTGATCAAAAATTTAGAACCACATTGTCAATTTCTGTCACACTGTCATGACGTTTTGATGGCAAAGGCACAAAAACGTTCCCTTTTTGAACATGGTCGGGTTGTTGAACTGCATAAGCTTGCAGCACGCCATCGCTGCTGAGGTGGGACGCAGTGTGACAGTCATTTGGAATTTCTTAAATGTTCCTGAGGGTTATGGAACAAAAACGTCAAGTGGAAGACCCCAGAAAAATTCATCAGCACTGAGCCGGAGGATCCAATTGGCCGTCTGTCAAGACACTGGACGATCCTCAACCCAAATTAAGGCCGTTACTGGTGCTGACTGCAGTCCCATAACCGTCAGACGGCATCTGAGACTGAAGGGCTTCAAAAACAAAAAAACGTCTTCAGCACCACATGACAAAGGAGTCTACCACAGCCCACTACTCTGGCTCATCACCTCCACTGATGCAACCAACCACTGCAGAGTGGAGAGACATCCGCCCACATTACTATTAGCTCAACATCTTCTCCCCTATCCAGAAGAGTCGGGCTGATGGCTCCAATATCATGCAAAACCATAATCAGAACACAAGCCTCCTCTTTGCCCATCAAAAATACAGAACCTTTTGAAAAAAAAGTTGGCAACTTTTGCTCTTTGCACTGGAGATAGGGACAGTGGGCAATGAGATGCCCTGTCTCATGGCAGAAAAAGAATTCACAGCTGGGAGGAGGAATGGGATTTAGGTGTGATAAAAGCTTCTTCTACTTCTCCCACCTAACTTTGCCCATAACCAATAATTAAATTAAAAATCTCCCTGTAAACTTTTTGACCACTTCTGGCATTGCTGCTTATTCATCTCCTGCAAGCGCAGTTTTGACCACTTGTATTTTGCATCAGCAATTTCAAACTTGAGCTCAAATGGATGGATATCAACTGATTTGACTTCCTGCGGGTGATCCTCTTTTCACAATAAAATTCTAAAGTTCAAATTGTTTCTTCAAAGTGGAAAAGATCCAGTGTGATTTAAAGGTGCAAAATGACTGGAGGCAGTCAAAATGGAGTTAAAAGAGTTAAAAATAGCAGGAGTACTCACAGCAGTACAACATGTGCAGTATATACAGTACAATGTAAACAAAGAGACCTTGTATGTTCTTTCTATTTTACCTTGTTCTGACTTCCAAGCTTCTCATCTATAATCTTTGGAGTATTTTTAGATTTTGCCTTTCCCTAGCTTTGCTGAATTTATTTGCTTGTTTGCTTTTACTTGGATGTCTACTTTTGGATTTAAGATTTGGATTTGGGGCTTTATTGTGTTCCCTGTGTGCTCTGTGTTCGGATCCTCCATCCATGGAATCCCCAAACTGTATAAATGTATAAACTATATCATTTATCGTACACTTGCACAAATTTAGGCTAAAAGGCTAACCTACTGGGTAAAAAAAAACTCATGTACTTTCAGAAATTTTAGATTCCATCAGCATAGGCTTGTTTAAGCAAAAAATGTTGGGAAAAAAATTCTTTCTGGAAAATGTTAACATTTATAATTTCATACATGACGCTTGAGAGCAGCATTGTGCCTTTGTGGATTACAAAACAAACTACAACTGCTGTAAAGGCAGCGTAGTTGCAGTTCTGTGATGATATTACAGTCAATATTAATGTTCTTCTGAATAAATGCACCATCAGTCATCAGAGTTTCTTTGACCTTTTATGAGATTTGTTTGTAATGAAACTTGAAAAGATAAAACATGGAGTTGTGTACAGGATGTGTTCTTGGCAGGATATTAATTGTAAAGTAAATCGCTGATATTTACTCAGAAGCCAAATACCACCCCTTGCCTTACAGTTTACACATTTTAAGTCTATAACATACAGCATAACATTTGAACTTGACATTTTGGTGAGAACATTTTGGGAAACATGCCGAATTCTTTCCTCCAAGCAGGTTAAACCTATTCACCTGTTTTTGTTTTTGTTCTTTCTGCAAAGATACAGAAGAGGAAAGATAAGTACCAGTCCCCAGTATTTCATGTAATTAATACAACTAAGTTGATTTAAAAGTTTTACACAGCAACAATCAAGTTTGTTTCAGTTTGCTAATTACCTACTAATAATCAAAGTAGTGCCTGCAGTAGTACAGACAGAAAAAAGCCAGTCACAATAAGATGCTGGAACACTAAACTGATGTTGTAGATATTAACTAAAAAGGCTAACACGAAATTATTTTCACCCAATGACAAAGACAGACAAAATGCAGATCACTGTTATAGTTGCATTTTTCATTCGTTATAGCATGCATTTTTGTTCACTGGTGATGTTATCAGTATCATTAAGACTATGCTGATGACCTTTTACATACATAAATATTCAATAAGAACTGGTTTTAATCCATCATTCATTGAAACTATTGTCATTTCATCTCATAACTGGTGGAGTTATGAGATTCCTTTCCTGAAAATTTAGGTCTAAGTAAAACAGCCAGTCTTTAAGTCATGGCTGTACTTGGCTATACATGTTTATGTTAAAGTCTGTTATGAAGTATTGATCACATGCCTGGTATTTTCAGTCTTTAGTAATACATTCTAGTTAAGCTGGTTTTGAATTACAAACCCAAGTATTATTATTTTCATCCAGAACAGTCTGCTGTGTTTAAAGGACTACAGCTCATATTAGCTGATGCTCTCTTACTATCGTTAAGAAAGTAAATTATTAAAAAAAAACCTTTAAACTTGTGAGTTATCATTTTGAAATCCTCAAACCATTACGCAAGTCTCTTCTCTCACTAGGTGTATCAACGGATGGCTGTTTGTGGAGGAAACAGGTGGTTCTTTATGCTTGACTGCTGAGACTGACTGATGCTGTCTTGCTGATGTTTTTGAGCACTGTGCTCTTTGTCATCATCATCAACATGGGCCATGTTGCTGTCAATGTCTGAATCCAAATCACTGCCTTTAAGTGTGGGACAGCCACCAGAGTACTCGATCTCCTCAGCACACGGAGGCTCATCGTCTTCAAAACAGCTGCATGAAAGAAGAAAGAATTGCCATGTTAAGTCTTGTTCACCAAAAACAACAAACTAAGTTTTATGTAAAACACACTGTGTAAACACACAGCTTGCTTGCTTGCAGCAGTGGCATCAGGTGTGTTTTGCATCAGCAGCTGTTCAAATTCAAATTCAAAATTCAAATTTTTATTTGTCACGTACACAGTCATACACAGTACGATATGCAGTGAAATGCTTAGACAACTGCTCGTGACCTAAAGAAAAAAAGAAAAGGCTATGAATAAGATAGGAAATAAATATGAAAATTAAAAAGGGTAAATTTAACTAGGAAGGAATAAAATAAAATATAAAAATTAAAGTTAAAAATGAAATAACTGTACAACACAAATTAGAATGAAGGGTAAATTTAACTGGGAAAGAGTTCATCACCTCTTCCCATAAATACCTGAATTCCACTCGAACTGCCCTGGTTTAAGCACTGTCCTCCCTGCTGCCACATGGAAAACCCACATATGATAAGCCGCCCTAGAACGGTAGCTTACTTGTGAGACTTGTGGTCCAGCATGTTGTGGTCCAGGTCAATATGGTTGATGAGTTTCCTGCTGTATAGAATCCTTGTGTCTTTGGTTACAGACAACAGACTGTGGCAGAACTTCATCCCCATTTCCTGGTGCTCCTGGGTTCCTGTCTGCAGCCCCTGTAACAACACACAGGCACACACACAGACACGCTCCCCTCCTGAGCCAAGTTAAGTATATTATACATCCTGAAAATTTGTGCACACTGCCCAATGAGAGACATTTGTTAGGAACACGCTACTGGATTTTTTACAAACCCAATCCAAATAAAAGCTACGATGCTGTGTCAAATGAAAACAAAAAGAGATCTGCAAATCTCATAAAAGCATATTTTATTCACAATAGAGCATAGAGAATATCGTAAATGCTTAAACTGAGACATTTTACTATTTAATTAAAAATACTAATCTTTTTTTTTAATTTGATGGACCAACATGACTCAAAAGTGCCCTTCTGAGGCACAGCAGAAGGAACAGTTTACATCAAATTGGAACAACTGACAAGATGTCAGTAACATAATAGGGCATGAAAAGAGCATCTTAGTCAGGAAAAGATTCTCTGAAGCAAAGCTTATGCAAAAGTTCAATAAGGAAGATCTGTAATCACTCATCTCCCTGCTATCCTGGGTTTGCAGCTACTAGCTATTCTTTACTTTACATTCGTTTTATCATGCTGCCAAACTCAATTCTTACATCACTGCTCTAGCCCAGTCATGTTTTGCCCACCTTTTCCAAGAAAATCAGCTTCGTCTATGCACATTTTTATATCTCAGTGCTCTTCTGTGGATGTGTGGGGTGGGTGCTGTCCCATCACTGGTGGGATTCTGTTCTGCTATGATGGGTCATTTGAGTCTAATCACCAAATAGTTTAAGAGAATTGTACAACTTGCATATCTGGAAAGGCTCCAGAAGATTAGCAACAGATGCTTTTTCGGGGAAGTCCTTGCATGACTCAGCAAGACAATGCTAAACCTCATACTGTGACAACAGCATTGCTCACTAACAGCAGATGACCTGGACTAGCCTGCCTGCAGTCCAGACTGGCTTTATCCATTTGAAAACATTTGAAGCATCATACAGGGAGTGCAGAATTATTAGGCAAGTTGTATTTTTGAGGAATAATGTTATTATTGAACAACAACCATGTTCTCAATGAACCCAAAAAACTCATTAATATCAAAGCTGAATGTTTTTGGAAGTAGTTTTTAGTTTGTTTTTAGTTTTAGCTATTTTAGGGGGATATCTGTGTGTGCAGGTGACTATTACTGTGCATAATTATTAGGCAACTTAACAAAAAACCAATATATACCCATTTCAATTATTTATTTTTTACCAGTGAAACCAATATAACATCTCCACATTCACAAATATACATTTCTGACATTCAAAAACAAAACAAAAACAAATCAGCGACCAATATAGCCACCTTTCTTTGCAAGGACACTCAAAAGCCTGCCATCCATGGATTCTGTCAGTGTTTTGATCTGTTCACCATCAACATTGCGTGCAGCACCAACCACAGCCTCCCAGACACTGTTCAGAGAGGTGTACTGTTTTCCCTCCTTGTAAATCTCACATTTGATGATGGACCACAGGTTCTCAATGGGGTTCAGATCAGGTGAACAAGGTGGCCATGTCATTAGTTTTTCTTCTTTTATACCCTTTCTTGCCAGCCACGCTGTGGAGTACTTGGACGCGTGTGATGGAGCATTGTCCTGCATGAAAATCATGTTTTTCTTGAAGGATGCAGACTTCTTCCTGTACCACTGCTTGAAGAAGGTGTCTTCCAGAAACTGGCAGTAGGACTGGGAGTTGAGCTTGACTCCATCCTCAACCCGAAAAGGCCCCACAAGCTCATCTTTGATGATACCAGCCCAAACCAGTACTCCACCTCCACCTTGCTGGCGTCTGAGTCGGACTGGAGCTCTCTGCCCTTTACCAATCCAGCCACGGGCCCATCCATCTGGCCCATCAAGACTCACTCTCATTTCATCAGTCCATAAAACCTTAGAAAAACCAGTCTTGAGATATTTCTTGGCCCAGTCTTGACGTTTCAGCTTGTGAGTCTTGTTCAGTGGTGGTCGTCTTTCAGCCTTTCTTACCTTGGCCATGTCTCTGAGTATTGCACACCTTGTGCTTTTGGGCACTCCAGTGATGTTGCAGCTCTGAAATATGGCCAAACTGGTGGCAAGTGGCATCTTGGCAGCTGCACGCTTGACTTTTCTCACTTCATGGGCAGTTATTTTGCGCCTTGGTTTTTCCACACGCTTCTTGCGACCCTGTTGACTATTTTGAATGAAACGCTTGATTATTCGATGATCACGCTTCAGAAGCTTTGCAATTTTGAGACTGCTGCATCCCTCTGCAAGATATCTCACTATTTTTGACTTTTCTGAGCCTGTCAAGTCCTTCTTTTGACCCATTTTGCCAAAGGAAAGCACGTTGCCTAATAATTATGCACACCTGATATAGGGTGTTGATGTCATTAGACCACACCCCTTCTCATTACAGAGATGCACATCAGCTAATATGCTTAATTGGTAGTAGGCTTTCGAGCCTATACAGCTTGGAGTAAGACAACATGCATGAAGAGGATGATGTGGACAAAATACTCATTTGCCTAATAATTCTGCACTCCCTGTATAATAAAAATAAAAAATCATCTCTCAGACAAGAATGAGGCATCCAAAAGTCCAGCAGCTGCTCACCTCAGTTTATAGACTTTTATGGCCTGTTGTTAAAAGAAGACATCATGCTACCCGGTGCTAAACATCTCAAACTTTGGGAAATGACCATATTTATGAAATTTGCATATCATTACATTCTGTTTTGATTTAGATTTATAAGTGCATAGGCTAAGTGGTCCAGCTCAAAAGGAACTTGTGCTCCAAAAAACAAAAACATCAAGAACAAAACAAAGTTGCATACAAGTGTGAACCAATGACAGTGCTCCCATAAAGACCTGTCAATTAATATGTGCATCCAGCCTTTACATTTTTGCTATCTTGCGGCCGCAGTCAGCTATTGTCCCTGAAAACATATTTCAATCTCATAACAAAGTCTAGTTCTCTCTCTCTCTCTGAGGGTGTGTCCATTACCCCTTAACAATTACTGGAGCTGGGCAAGCTGAGAGATCAGCAGCTTGTTTCTAGTGGTTTGCACAGACGCATTGTGAATAAACCCCTGGTCTGTGTTGGTAAACTGAGAGGAAAGCAGCGTGCGAAGGAAAGTGCCACGGGTTATCTTTGGCTGCTCTGAGATCTGTTACGACCTGGGCTTTATAGAGAAATACACATAGCATTAGCAAGTAGATGAGATTCAGTGATTCAGCATTGCAACAGATTTTCCTTCTGCTAACCACCCTTGTTCAACATGTGTCATGTAGAGAAGATGGTGTTTGGTGGTGTGACAATAAAAAAAGAGGGGCTGGCAGTTCTGACCATGTCTGGTCTAATAAATCAGGCAAGTTGAGCAGAGACACAAAGTATTCTGTGCAGGCTGACAGCGAAACACTTTACCCACTGAGGTATTATTGGCACAGCATGGTCAGGATCTCCTTATCAACACCAACCCTGCCACTCTGGAGCTCTACAGAGCTACAGGTATAAAACTGCTTTAAACTGGTCACATAGTTACTCCCTGTACACATGGCACAAAATGAATGGTAAAAAGTTACAAAGTGCACAGTAGCATTAAGTAATTCTATTAGAGTACCCTAATTCACCCAATTTCTCTCTCATACACACACCTTGTATATTCCCTGGTTGCAGCCATTGTAAGTATTCTCCAAAGTATAACTTCTCAGAACTCCCATTTCCCTCCAGACAACCACTCTGGCTGTAGCAGAGCGAGACTTCTCTACCTGACAGGTTAAAATCAGAATTAAGGGTAGGTAAGAGAATATGGCCCATATAATAAGAAAAATAATGAATGTAACTATTCACACATTAACAAATATAAACACTACTGACAATAACAGTGATAGTGGTGTTGATGAGGTATGATACATGAAGATGGCTGAGATAATGCTTTATTTAACCTGCTGTTCCAGGCAGAGATATTTATTTTATACAACTGACAGTGTTAATAATAAAGAAGTTAACAGTGACAACAAGTACAACTTTGCTTACAATACTGAGAAGGATAACAATATGAATTAATTAGTAGTTGTATTTAGTTGTACTGACAACTACGCTGTGGATTTATTATATGCAGTGATTTTCAAAATGAGAATTATTATTAGTATTGTAACTTTTACCAAAAAGTTGCAGCTGTTGAAAGAAAAGGTCGGTGCAATACGATCCAAGGTCTTTGGAATGGTCTAGAAAGGCGATGAGAATGATAAAGACAGCGAGAGAGAGAGATGGAGAGGAACAAAACATTTTATCTGGTTTCAGAATTTGAAATACTGCTGCTGGTGAACGAGTAGAACAAAAACAGAAACCCCTATGGCCTGCTTGGCTTTGTGTGTGTGCTTTTCTTACCCTATATCCAGGATCCTCTTTCAATCCTACAGTGTCAACTGCAGAGCCAGACTGCCAGAGAGTCTCCTTAATGCTGCAGCCATACAGGAACACATTCTTTTTTCGAGAGTGGCCATGGTAGTCACAGAAAACCTAGTAAATATGAAGAAAGAAAGAGCTTGTGCATTTGGACAATAAAATATTTTGATTTGTGATTTTGCCTATGAAACCAAACAGTGCATTTTAAATCAAACAATTAATGTGTGATTAAAGTACAGACTTGTCATTTTAATTTAACAGGTTCAACTGAAGTGTTCACTGTTTAGATATTACAGCCTAATACTTAAACGACAAATTCAGAATTTCCAAGACAAGAACTGAAAGGCTGCGAATACTTACGCACATCTTTTTTTTGTATGGTACATTTTACAACGCATTTTTGATTAGAATTTTTAATAAAGCTGTGAATAATTTTTGGATCTAATGTATGTAGATTAACTAATGTGTGAAAGTGTGTCAAACATGCAGGACAGATATTTAGCAAAACCAAAGAGCTTAACATTTCAAAAAGAAAACATTACATAACAGCATGTGTATCTCACCACTGGAGTCCGTCCTATAATGTTGAGGTAGTAGAGAAAGCCTTTGGTGTGGTAGATGGTTGGACTCAGAAGAGGGTCTGGTTTACTCCACTGACGATTCAGATCTTTGCTGTTCAGGTCACAGCGATTTCTGAGGAGACAGACAACAACAAAAACAAATACTTGCACTGTAATTCATTTGTGAGGGGTAAATCTGTGATATATACCAAATACTGTAACGTTACTTGTTGTCTGGCTGAATAATAGTGTCCTTCAGTAGCAAAGTACTGTTTGTTGTTGAGAGGTGGGACAGAGAGACATGGATGTTATGAAGTGCTATAATTGAGTTTATCTAGAGTTGTTTGAAAAAGTGTTTGCCCCTTTCCTGATTTCCTATTTTTAACTCATTTAAATATTAGACAAAGATAACACAAGTAAACACAAAATGAAGTTTCTAAATGAAGATGTTTATGATAGGGGGGGGGAGATATCTTCATGGCCCCATGTAAAAAGTGATTGCCCCTAAACGTAATAGCTGGTTGGGCCGCCCTTGGAAGCAACAACTGCAATCAAGCGTTTGCAATATCTGGAAAAGTCTTTTTGGAATTCAGAAATAAGTCTGAAACTTAAAGGGTGTACCTTTAAGACAATTAGTCTTAAAGGTACACCCTGTTTATGTATCTTTAGTAAACCATACAGACTTGGCGTATCTTCCCTTGGGTATAGCCTGTGGTATGAGGTTCCGTCAGTAGTATTTTCTTGTTCTGACTGCTTCAGACAATCTATCACCCTCTTCCTGTAACCACTTGCTGGGTCTCGTTTCAAGTATTTTTTTCACTGAACCGTGACAAAATGTTCTAATGACAGTCTTTCTGGTTCAGCAAAACCATATATCTGTATGATCAAGACGCTCTGCCAGGCTTCTTGGGAAACTCAGGAAACTGTTGGGTTACTTTGCAGTTTGCTTTGGATCATTATTCATCTGCACTGTGAAGCTTTGTCCCATCAGTGTTGCAGCATTCGTCTGAATGTGAGCAGAGTGCAGTCCCGTAGACTCTTCATCCTGCTGCTTCTATCAGCAGTCAATGAACACCAGTGCCGAGGCTGACTGGCGGCCATACATACCCATCCCATAACATTGCTTCCACCATGTTTGACAGATGATGTGATGTTTTAGATTATTAACTGTTTCTCTCCTCCTCCTTACTTTCTGGCACAAGTTCATCTGGGGTTCTGTTTTGTTTTGTTTTTTTCGTATTTACTTTCATAAATGCATCCCTTGATTGCAGACTTCGTAGCCTGACTGTGATTTGGTTAAGTAAAGGTTAAGTAAAGACGTTATTATTTCTGATAGATTTTTTTTTTTTACCTCCTTCACTCCTTGCTTCATTTCTTTGGTCCTCATTTTGAAATGTGTTTTGCGTCTCTGAAAATTAAAGTTTTTGTATAGAACTTGATATATTTCTTGAACAGTTAATGCCATATTTTTCTTAAATCCTTTCAATTAAAGCTGAAAGTGTGTGCTTTCCAATTGCATCAGAACTGTTTGTACACCACCACAGTGGATTTCAGAGGTAAAATTATGAGAATGTTCAAACTGTCAGTAACTCATAAAGCACAAAAATGACAAAAATTATATCAACAGTGAATGTTATTGTAATATTGTATTGTAGTTACATTAGCATATGCTACCTGCAGCATTTCATTATTAAGAAGCCTAGTGTAAGTGCAGCCAAGGGCATTGTTTCCTTACATGTTTCAAGTAAAGTAAAAGTGTATATTATATCATTTTTTTAACCATTCCAACAATGTTCCTGCTCCTCACTCACGTGCCATTGATGACTCCATCTGGGTTGAGCATGGGGATGATCTTAAAGACGAAGGCCTCCCTGAGACTCTGGGCCACCAGGTCATTGCTGCACAGAAACTCCAAAGTGCCCTTCATCACCCAGCTGGCATTGGACTCACCAGGATGCACACGGCTGGTCAGTACAATATAGGGGCGATTACCTAGGAAAATTATTATTACACAATCATCAGTTTGCCTAATGATATAACATATTGAACAAGGAAGTTAGTTTCTAGACATCAAGCATCTTCCCCTGGGTGTAGCCTGTATGAGGTCTGGCCACTAGCATTGTCTTGTTCTTTCTGCTTCTGGCAATCTATCACCCTCTTTCTGTAACCACTTACTGGGTCTCGTTTCAAGCATTTTTATAAAGTACAACGTATTAAAGCAGATTAGAAAAATGCTATGTAACAAGGCATGTTAATGGCTCACATCTAAAACCAACTAATAATGTCTATCAGGATAACATAGTTATCCAGATCAGATTTTTAGTTTAACAAAATCTTTAGCTTTAGTCAAAGATGGTGAGACCCAGAAGCCGATTACAACGGCTGTGGAACAGTCGTAATTAACATACAGTTAACAAGCTGAGTGTCTGTGACTTTAATGTGAAAGATCTACAAAGAGCAAGCAAACAGATCTGTGAACTAAACAGTACAACTGGTGCTGGAGTCTGGAGGTGAGAGTACGGGCTATAACTGGTAAAGTGAGAAAGGTGGCTGATATGATGGAGTGAAGGTGGAGTCCAACTGTTGGTTGGAAGACAGGAAGAGAAATGGAGTAGTGGTAGGGGTGGGTTTTGATTATTGATTTTCCGATTAAAATCTATTCTAGCTTGAATTACGCGATATCGATTCATTAAAATCCTGAATCGCTTTTTAAATATAAATGTGTTTTGCCCGAAATACCAGAATCTCAGGTTAAACCTCACAAAATTTCGACAACCACCAAACAGCTAAAACAGTAAATGAGAGCAGGTACACGGATTCTGCACAAAGACATAAACACAAAGCGCTGACCCGCCGCATCAGGATCAGTGAGGTGTCAGCTTTCTCACCCGACGGCACGGACACACCATCAGGGCTGAAAGCTGACAGCTCACAGATGTTATTAAAATTGAGGGAGGATATGTGACATGAGACAGCGGATGGCAGCACAGCACACCCAGCAAAGCCACATCAATGGCCCTACCAACTGTGGCCTATGCTACATCATGCTACAGGGTGATGAAGAGCAGACCTGTGTCAACTGCAACCCAGGGCAATGCCGCACCATAAGCCAGCACCCATCATCACCACCACAAAGGCTAGTCCACCTGGACTGGACATCTAGACGTGGGCCAACCCACCCCATGTGGTGGAACAACCAGGAACCAACCAGAATGGGCATTCCTGGGAACTAGGGCCCCAGTCCCCAGACCTGGACCTGCTCCACATCTCAAGACTGCAAGACAGCACCTGCACCCACCCCAGCCACCCACCTTCACCAGCAATCAAGGCAGACACACCAATGCCCCAAAACACCAACCGACCCCCGCAGGAGACTGTTAGACTTCCACTGACCCCGTGTCCACCACCAGCCACGTGCAAGACACACAGGGAGATGTGACTACAGTCGACCAACGCCAACTAAGCACTGGAATTAATCAGAGAAAGCAGAGAGAAATAAATTCATCCAATTAAATTTTTAAAGAGGCATGCATTTTCTACAAACTAATGTGATCTAGAAGTACATTTCTACATTGAGTAATACAAACAGTTTTTTTTATTCATGAAGATAATTAATGTTACCCAACTGTAGTGTAGTGGTGGAGGTGTTCTGAAATTTACAATTTAGGGGCAGAAATGTCAATTTACTCCAGTTAGCAGAGTAGTCTGATATGAATGGGATTTTAGCAGTGAGTCTGATTGTCTTCAGAAGAGAGGTTTGTGTTCCCAAGGAAAGTAATGTATCATCAGCATATAGGCTTATCTTAGATCATCTTAAGATCATTTGTCCTGACAGACACATTTGGAGAGCTGTATAGTGTTTTCATCCAATTTATACGGTGGCCCTGAGAGGCCAAACTGACTGCAACTTAAGAAAACACCAGCAATAAGAAAAATGCTGCAAAAGCACACAAAACACAACAGAAATAGGAAAAACGAAAATGGAAATAGGAAAAAACAGATTTCCAAAAGCACAAGGGAAGTGACTGGGGAGACAATAACCCTACGGACCAGTTGCAGGAACCAAAACATGCTCGGTAAGTGTGTTTTAATCTCATGATTCATATAATACTGATGACGGATTTTTTAGGCTAATAGTTAGGCTAACACACTTACCTCTCATCTTTTCTTACCTCACATCTTTTCTTTCCTATTTCCGTTTTCAATTTTCCTATTTCCGTTGTGTTTTGTGTGCTTTTGCAGCATTTTTCTTATTGCTGGTGCTTTCTTAAGTTAACCTGTCACTCATTGTGGATATGGGTCGTATGTGCCAAGGAATCGGCAGGAATACCATAGGGGCAAAACACCAGCTACCAGCAGATAGAGCAGTCGTCTGAAACTGCAACACCAGACTGACCAACCTGTGCACCACCAAGAATGCTAGAACAACGATGATGTGAGCTGCATTGACTACAAAAAATGAGCTATGCCATAAAGATATGGCAAAGACTTGTTGAAGCTAAGCTAAAAAGAGGTGACAATTAGTGAGGAGCATTATGGCACTACAGATGCAATGTTTGCTTTTAGAGTGAAAAGAAGGTCAGAAGCCAGGGGAATTAGAAGTACTGTGCTGAACCATCACAATTGTGTTTAGGTCTGTGGAAGCCAGGCGATCTGGTGCAGCACTCCATCACTCTCCTTCTTCTTCAAAAGGCTCTTACACAGCCTGGAGGTGCGTGTTGGGGTCACTGTCCTGAGTCGCTGCAGGATGCTGTGGTTCTGCCACACCATCACACATCCTCCTCTTCCATGATTCACAGTGGGGAACCATGAATGTAGAGACCATCTGTTCACTTTTTTTGCATCACACTGCCAATGGAACCAAAAGATCTCAAATGTGGACTCATCAGACCAAAGCACAGATTCCCACTGGTCTGATGCCCATTTCTTGTGTTTCTTGGCCCAAACAAATCTCTTCTGCTTGTTTCTTTTCCATAGTAGCAGTTTCTTAGCAGTTTTCCAGACTGACTGACCGTCAGTTCTTAAAGTAATGATGGACTGTTGTTTCTCTTTACTTAGCTGACTGGTTCATGCCATAATATGAATTCTAGCAGTTGTCAAATAGGGCTGTCAGCTGTGTACCAACCTGACTTCTGCACAGCACAACTGATGGAGCCAACCCCATTAAGAAGTCAAGAAAATTCCACAAATGAACCCTGACAAGACACACCTGGTGAATTAAAAACCATTTCAGGTGACTACATCATGGAGCTCATTGAGAGAAGAGAAGGGTGTGCAGCTCTGTCAACAAGGCAAAGGGTGGATACTTTGAGGAATCTAACATATCATATTTAGAGCTATTTATCCTTTTTTGTTTGCTACATAATTCCATATATCTTGCTTCATATATTTGATGCCTTCAGTTTGTATCTACAATGTAGAAAGTAGTAAAATAAAGAAAAAACATTAATTGAGAATGTGTGTCCAAACTTTTGGCTAGTAGTGTAGCTTTGTCTATTCATGAAGCCAGATGAGACACATCAATTAAACTGCAGAAATGTCTTAAAGACACAAAGACCTGGACATAAAGCAGAATGGGAGGCAGAGCCTTGAGGTTTCGGGCCCCCTTTTTATGTAATCAGCTCCCAGTTTAGATTCAGACACCCTCTCTACTTTCAAGACTAGGCTTAAAACTTTCCTTTGGTTACAGTTCAGTCTAGATCAGGTGAGTGTGAATTCTCCCTTAGTTACACTGCAGTAAGAGTGTTTCTTCTTTACTCACCTCTTTTTACTCCCCATGTCTTCATACATAACTCTGCATTTAATGATTAATTAATCTCTGGCTCTCTTTTACAGTGCTTTTTCTTTCTTTTATTTGTCCTGTCCATCTCCCTTCACTCCCAACTGGTCGTGACAGATGACTGCCCCTTCCTGAGCCTGGTTCTGCTGGAGGTTTCTCACTGTTTAAACAGATTTTTCCTTTCACACTGTTGCCATAGTGCTTTTTCATAGGAGTTAGTCTGACTGTTTGTGCTTTCTCTGTACTATTCTAGGATCTTTACTAGATAAAGTGCCTTGAAGTGACTGTTGTGGTTTGGCGCTAATAAAATAAAATTTATTTGAAGAAGACATTTGGTGATTCTTCTGGCTTCATTGGTAGGTGACCTCCACTGGAGCAGTTTGCAGCAAGGTATGAAGCAGTAGTAATGAGAATTATCACTTATAAGTCTGAGGCAATGACTCTCTGCTGTAAAAAGTTAGAATGCCTACTCTGCACATCTATGGGCAATTTAGAGTCACCAATTAATCCACTAACTGCATGTTTTTGGGAGGAAGGCGGAGTACGTGGAGAGAACCCAGACAGATACAGGGAGAATGTTCAAACTCTGCACAGAGGGCCCAAAGCTGCTCCAATATGTTCTCATGTAGAGAAACATGACAGTATACATATGCATCTTAGAGTCTGAGTCTAACAACTGAAAATAACAATATTTTCCAGTGATAATTATATGTGAAAAAATGTAAACATTTCTCCACGCATATAGGGTTAGTGAGTGAGGTTGACAATTTCATGTGTTCACCATGAAATTGAAGAATCTGTTATGAATGTGTGACTGGGTGAATGACACTTGTAATAGAAAGTTATTTGAGTGCTCAAATTGAATAGAAAGGTCCTTCATAAGTACCAGTCTCTCTACCATTCCAATGTGGCTGTGTAAACACGTAAGTACCCCTGACATGAGTAGTTCCTGGACTACAAAGCACTACTTACGCATCTGGTGCAGGTCTTTCCACCTTCTGCTGACTGGACAGGCAGTGATGGTAACTATTGGACAGGAGTTTCCAGCCAAAGTGCTACAAAGAGTCTGCTGCTTGAAAAACACCTTGGCCGGATCCACTGATTTCTGCAGTATTTTCAAGTGAGCCTGACAAAAATAACAAATATATACTTAGGTCTCTAATTATTTATAAAACAGATATATTTCTCTTGTAATTCTGCCTCTGTACACCACCAGAGCGGAGCTGAAGTCAAACAATCAAGATGTTTTTGAAATTCAGACTTTCAAATTTAATTCAAGGGGTTTAACAAGAGTATTACCTTAACTACTTAAGAATTACAGCTAATTTTGTACAGTGGGGGAAAATAATTATTGGATATTTGATTGGTGATATGTTTTGGTTCATGTCATGCTGAAAGACCCATCCACAACTCCTCTTCAGTGTTCTGGCTGAAGGAAAGGAGGTTCTCGTCTACACTTTTATGATACATGACCTTGGACCCTTAGCAGAAAAACTATTCCAAAGCATAATATTTCCACCATGATTGACTGTGGGGATTGTGTTCTTTGGGTCTGCATTTTGTTCCCTCCAAACACAGCAGCTCAAGTTGGTCATATCCTGCATCAGTTTTGATGGCTCAGGGCATGTCATTCATATCATGCCTGGTGAAAGAACTGTATTTAATGTTTCACGTTTGTTTCCTCCACAGATTGATGATCAGGTTGAGGGTTTGAATAGGATAAAAATACAGTATTGCAAATTTCATTAGTGACATTAAAACCAGTTGCGACCAGTGGTTTGATCCTGTATTGGGTGCCCCGGTCCTTGACAGGATTTTCTCCCTTTGAACTACAGTTCAGGATTTTTGACCTACTTAAAGAAAACTAGGAGAAAGTGCCAAGTCCTAGTAAATATCCAATTCAGCATCTTATGGACTTGAGAGAAAAACTTCACACTTCCGGTAGGGTATGTGAAGATTTGCTGGTGATGGTGGTTTGATGGTTCCCAGCCAAAGTCAGGCTGTGGGAGTTATGTGCCAGTGGGGTGTGACTGCAGGAGGGAAAGGTGTGGTGCCAGCTAGGGAGGATGACACACCTGACATGCATCTGGTGATTAACCTTCCTCACTATATAGCAGCTGTGGAGGGAAAAACACAGAGCAAGTTGTGCAGTATGTTGAAAAGCAACAGAAAGAGTAAGCACTCCACAGCCAGCCATTTAAGAAAATGATGTATAAAAAGATGTACAAAATCTATACTGCATTGTTTTTACATTAGACTTAGACATTGTACTTATTTATTGAGTTACATTTTCCCCCAGAGGTTTAGAGAATAGAGCTAAAATAGTAATTCAGTTGTGGTAGGGAAGACCCAAATGCAGACAAAGTTTTTTAAAAAAAGGTTTAAATATAAAAAAGCTGATTTACCATAGCCTGAATAACAAGATGACATAGGAGGGGATGCAAATGAGGGTGAACAAGGGTGCACATAAAAACAGTGATTGCACGTCTGAACTGCTCATAGCTTAAAAAACTCAAAATTCATGTTTGTCGTCTGAGACAAAATAGTCTTTATAAACCAACTTCACATAGAACCTATAAAATTACATTTTCTGCTTCATATTGATCAGTTTTTCCAGAACAAGAGTGTGGTGCAGAACTGTAGTAACTACAGGGGATAAAGCTGTTGGGGGTGGGATTTGGTCAGGGATCTGGTCTGAGCCCCTTCTCGTTTTCAGTCATGATGGACAGGTTGACTTGTGAAATCAGGCAGGAGTGGACTCTGATGTTTGCAGATGACATGGGATCTATAAGGAGCATATGGAGAACCTGGAGAGGTGGAGGTATGTACTGGAGAGAGAACGAATGAAAGACATTAGAAGCCAGAAGACCGAATACATGTGTGTGAATAAGAGGGAGCTGAGCTGAGGTAGTGAACGCCGAATAATTTAAATGAGGTCAATCATCCAAAGTACCGGACAGTACATGAGAGGTGAAGAAGGGAGTCAAGGCAGGGTGGAGTAAGTGGAAATGAGTATCGGAGGTAATTTGTGAAAGAAGCAGCAGCAAGAGAGAAAGGCAAGATTTACAAGAAGGTAGTGAGACCTGCTATGATGTACAGAGAGGCAGAGCTGAAGATGTTAAGACTTTCATTGGGAATGACAAGAAGATATAGCATTTGAAATGATTACATCAGAGGGACAGCTCAGGTGGAGACAAAGTTAGAGAGTAAAGGCTGAGATGATCAGGACATGTGCAGAGGAGAACTAGTAAATATATATACTGGATAAAAGATGCTGAAAATGGAGCTGCCAGACTGAAAGATTCATGGATGTAGTGAAGAATATGCAAGGGGGTTGGTCTGGCAGAGGAGGATACTATGATAGGATGAGATGGGGGCAGATGATCTGCTGTGGTAACCCCTAAAGGGAGCAGCTGAAAGAAGAGATTTTATATTGACTTAGCCTGCTTGTGACATCTCAGATGGCAGCGCATGATCTAAAATATAAAGAAAACAAAAAATAACGATTTTTCTGGTAATAAAAGAGTTCTTAGTAACCATCTTATCTGTCTTTGTAATATAAAATATTATAAAATATGTTCAGGTTATAGTTATGGGGCTTATGGTCGCTGTTAAAATAACAGAGATGGATTCACATTTGAAATTATTTAACTGTGTCATCTGTGTGGCTTGATGCAGCTTTTCCCAACATGTGTATCGATATCTGTACACAAAGATTTGAGTGAGATACATACAGTCCTGTATGTATCTCACTCAAGAAAAAAAAAAAAAAAAAAAAAAAAAAGAGATACATACAGTCCAGATAACAATTATCAACAAATTCCACAAGAAAGGTGAGCTACTATCGAAAAGACTGGCAGCTTATCGGCCAAAGGTTGACTGGAGGGGGAAAGTGTGCTGCGAAAGGATGCACAAGCAACAGGGATGACTGCAGCCTTGAACTGTCTATTAACAAGCTTCCCGAGAAGTGGACTGAAGCTGGTGTCAGAGTATCAAGAGCCACCATGAACAGAAATGTTCTGGACAGGGACAGCAGATGTCGCCAGAGAAAGAACTCAACTGTTGTCTTTTCAGATGAAAGTAAAACTTGCATTTCATTTAGAAAATCAAGGTCCTAGAGTCTGGAGGGAGCACGGACAGACACAGGATCCAAAACGTTTGAAGTCCAGTGTGAAGTTTCTGCAGTTTAAGGTGATATAAGGTGCCATGTCATCGGCTGGTTTTGGTCCTCTGTTTTATTAAGTCATTATAGGAGATCTTAAGGCACTACAAGAGTCCATCAGCTGACAGACTTTATAGATATTCAGGCTTTGAGTGATGTGGGTAATATGCTATAATCATCAAAATCAAACAAACAAAAAAGGTGTTAAGGTATTTCTTTGTGTAATGACTATAATATGTCACTTTTATGATTTAATGTTCATGAACTTAATTAGATTCTTGATTTTTTACACTATATATGTCACACTTTTACATATGCTAGTATATAGAAGTGTGAATTATACTGTATTATTTAACTGAGACTTGTATGATTTGAAACTCATCATAGTTTGTTTACACTTTTACACAGCTTCACAGCTTTATTTGTGATAGGGTTATAAACATTCTACAAAAACATTAAGTTTAAACTCTGACCAAAGTAAATAAATGGGATTATTATATGAAAAAAAAATACCATCAGAGCAGAATATGTGTAGGGATAATGGTAGGCCAGGTAGCAGACATCCTCACTGTGTTTGAAGGTGATGGTAAAGGTCAGGGTGTAAAAGGTAGTTCTCCTTCTGCCCTGTGCTGGACAAAAGTTGTTTCTGTTGGAGAAAATTGAGAAAAAAAAAAGTTTCGTTATATGTAGACTATCTAAATCAGGGGAACTGATACAACATAGTCGAACAGTAGGTAATATTATAGCACACGTACAAAAATACAATGTTTTGGGAGGTTTTTTTCCCAGTCCATCAGATGGTGCTATTGACTGTTTTTCTAGTGAGGTCAGTGTGCCTGAAGCTGGTAAAACAGAGATGGAGGTATGAGAGAAATTCTTCTGTGTTTAAATAAAACATGTGGCCTTATTTTGGATTTTTAACATGACAAGATAAATGTGAGGAATGTATTTTGCACATACTGCTGCTTCCAAGTTAAACTGTACAATGGTGCAGCGATTGGGACTGCTGTGTCAAAGCAAAAATATCCTGGGTTTGAATCCAGTCTTGGGCCTTTCTGTGCAGAGATTGCATCTTTGCTCTGGGCACTCTGGCTTGCTCCCAAAGACATGCATGGTAGGTTAATTGCTGCTTCTAGATTGAGAGTGAATGGTTGTCTCTTTGGATGGATAGGCCTCTGGTAATTGCTACTGCTAACATCTGTTTTGAACAGCTGAAATCAGCTGTCAGTTACAGTTAGTCTCAGTGGGGGGTTTTAATGAATGAACTTCTTCATTTGAAGTATCTATTGGAGAATCACACATAGTTCTGTGCTTGACCTATGACTAATTTACACAAGTTTCAAACCCGTGTGTTTTTTTTGCCCCTAATTAAATGTTTTTCGAGGTCTGACCTGCCTTCAGCAGCCTGCTAAAGCTACTCTCCAACACTTGGATTTCCAACATGTCTCTAATTAATGAAAAATATGTAAAATGTTTTCATACCTGAAATAACAAATTTCCGTTCCAGTACTGATCCAGTGTGGTCTACCTTCCAGGGCTTCTTTTACTGAGTACAGGACCGGCTGCATTCCTGCAGTACACACACACACACACACACACACACACATTTTTTCATATTGTGTAAGGGTACTGATAAATTAGTCCATGTCTGTAGGTGAGCACACACTGAACCTGATGCACAAAGACCAGTGTAACAGACAAAGCTGATAACTGCTGTAAAAAACTCTCTCTGATTGGGGTTTTAGGTTTTATCAAGCCAGCTATTGCAAAAAAACAAAACAAAAAAACAACAACAAAAACAAAAACACAGCTAGGTTGAAAGTCTCTGTGGAGACAGACTAGTAAACAAAACCTGTTGTTTCATTCTGTTATTGCTGCGTATGGAATATTCTGATTAGTGTTTTTTATCTAATGGGCTCTTTCTAGTGTGACACAGTGGTCCAGCGGTTAGCACTGCCTGCTCACATCAAGAAGTTCCTGGGTTCAAATACACTGGTCAGTGGGTGACTTTTAGTGTATAGTTTTATGATGTCCCCATGGGTTCTCCCTCAGTGCTCCAGCTTCCTGTTTAAGAACATACAGTGGGGCAAAAAAGTATTTAGTCAGCCACCGATTGTGCAAGTTCCCCCACCTAAAATGATGACAGAGGTCAGTAATTTGCACCAGAGGTACACTTCAACTGTGAGAGACAGAATGTGAAAAAAAAATCCATGAATCCACATGGTAGGATTTGTAAAGAATTTATTCGTAAACCAGGGTGGAAAATAAGTATTTGGTCAATAACAAAAATACAACTCAATACTTTGTAACATAACCTTTGTTGGCAATAACAGAGGTCAAACGTTTACTATAGGTCTTTACCAGGTTTGCACACACAGTAGCTGGTATTTTGACCAATTCCTCCATGCAGATCTTCTCGAGAGCAGTGATGTTTTGGGGCTGTCGCCGAGCAACACGGACTTTCAACTCCCGCCACAGATTTTCTATGGGGTTGAGGTCTGGAGACTGGCTAGGCCACTCCAGGACTTTCAAATGCTTCTTACGGAGCCACTCCTTTGTTGCCCGGGCGGTGTGTTTTGGATCATTGTCATGTTGGAAGACCCAGCCTCGTTTCATCTTCAAAGTTCTCACTGATGGAAGGAGGTTTTGGCTCAAAATCTCACGATACATGGCCCCATTCATTCTGTCCTTAACACGGATCAGTCGTCCTGTCCCCTTGGCAGAAAAACAGCCCCATAGCATGATGTTTCCACCCCCATGCTTCACAGTAGGTATGGTGTTCTTGGGATGCAACTCAGTATTCTTCTTCCTCCAAACACGACGAGTTGAGTTTATACCAAAAAGTTCTACTTTGGTTTCATCTGACCACATGACATTCTCCCAATCCTCTGCTGTATCATCCATGTGCTCTCTGGCAAACTTCAGACGGGCCTGGACATTGTCGAGGAGGGAAATTATTTTACTGCTATTGTTAAATAATTGTCATTGCATTAATAATATAATCTGCAGCATGGATGTTGCATTCCAAGGTTTAAACAGTGTCTCTTTCAGAAAGACTGAGTTGCAGGCTGACAGGAAGTTGTATGCAGAAAGAAGCAGGAAGTTATTTTGAGCCGCAGGCTAAGACGAGGCTTTAACAATATAACAGATAGCTTTAAGAAGGCCTTAAGAGAGGTTCTTGATTAAAACATTTATTTAGTAGAAGACATACACATAGTCTCAGTGAGCTTCTGGTCTGGTAAAAGGTCAGAAGTGCAACAGGTGAATTGAGAAAGAGCATTTGAGGACGAGACACAGACAGTAGGTGAAGAGATGACACAAAGAGCATGTGAGGTCAACACACACACACACACACACTTTAAATTAGATTTATTTAGAGGAGAGGTTAGTTATGTTTGGCTCTAACTGCAAAATTGTCTTGGTAAAAGAGGAACCGTTTCTTGGTGTCTCGGCAAGAAAGAGGAACAAGACAAGAACTGAAAGGTAGACAGGAAGGGCTAGCCATGAAAATAGAAGATGATTTTCTAGGTGAAAAGTCAATGATGATGTTGATCTGATCTATGTATAAAATGTATCTGTGACGTATGAAGGGGCGTCAGTAAATAAACCCTGATGCTATAAAATATCTGTTCATGCTTTGATTAAGCCGAAGACTACTTCCTGTCTGCGTACAGAGTTGTCTTCCCACGCGTGTATTCATTAAAATCTTCGTTTGACTTTACCCGGCCGGATCGGTGTGGTTATTCTTCGATCACCTCTTGTACCCTTCCTCAATATTGAATCTTAACATTTGGGGGCTTCGTCCGGTTATTGAGGAGGGAGAGTTGGAGGTTTGGACGGAGAAATCCGGGGTCTTGGGTGGTCTGACGGGCAGACATGAATTCCAGTGGTCTAAGTGAGTGGGCATAAGCCGGCTTATCCAAAAGGTAAGGCACTACCTGTTGAATTATTTCCAAAGTGTGCCAAATTGGATATGATAAAATTTAAGTCTACTCACTGAAGTTACTGGTGCATGTCTGTTTTGATTTTGATGAAAATCTCATGAGTTGAAGCAGTTAGAGTTCTGCTAAGAAGAAATGAAAGTAGTTAAGAGTCTGATAAGAAAAGTTTAAATACTGGGTTGAAGTCCCAAAGAAATTGAGTTAGAGTCTCAAGTAGTTTGGTAGGGAATTGGTTATTGTGTTGGTTAGAGTCCAAATTTGGTCATAAGAGTGGACCTGAGCGGTCATTTTGTGAGTTGGAGTCTCCATTGACCACTAGGTTGCACCTGCCTCAGTTATACACTTGTTTCGGGTGTTGATTGTTGTTTCAAAGTATTATAAATTATTCTAGAACGGCAGTTAGAGTCTGCTAGGAAGCGCAGTTCTCGGAGGTAACGCTCCCTCCCGGCCAAGGACGCTTGGCCCTGACCTATCGGCGAATAGGGTTAGTACGGTTGGCAACCGGGGAGAACTTGGGAACCTCCAAAATAGCTAGGAGTTAGAGTCTCCTTACCGTTTGCAACGGTATCTGCGCTTTTTTGGCCAGCAGAAGTGGATTTCGGGCGTGTAACTTTAACCTAAAACTTCAAAAAGTTTGGGTTGGTTGACGCTTTTAAATTGAGTTAGGGATTTTAGAAATGAGGCCAGAAACAGTTAAAGTCTTGATACTGGTTAATTGATCGCAAAAAACGGTTATGTTAAATTTGTCGAAATTTGATAGGTGTTAAAAGGTTTAAAATCTGTGCAGTTGTAAATATAGGACGTCTGTGTATTTAAAAAAAGATCTCTGTGGGTCGAGTCAGCAATGCACTGACTGCCTGCTGCTATTCTTAGATGAAGAGTGTGTGTGCATGCAAATGAGGCAGCTGATGCAGAGCGCATGAGAGGACTATGCTTTCGGTTTTGTGTGTCATTGAGCTCTATAACTATTGTTTGTAAATGTGGATAAATGTCTGTGATTAAAATGCTGGCTTAGTAAATAATAACATTGTAAATATATGAATGGTGATAGCGTTTCAAAATAGAATATAAGAATTGTTTGTGTTTAAAACCAACGTTTAGGTAAGAAGATTTAAGGTGGATTTGAAGGCATAAACAAAAAATAAAAGGGTTGTTAATGCATGAGCTGACTGGATGCAGAGTAAGTGGAGTGGTCATCCTGGGAGGATTGAATGATGCTCTAACTCTGTGGTCAAGTCAGATATAGGCTTTAAGCAACCATGAGCCACTAATAAGCGTGACAAATTAATGAGTATGTGTAAATTGAACTTGTTAAATAGTTTTGATAGAAGTAACTCAATGAGCACGCAATAAAGTGGACTTTTTAGGGGCAATTTATCACTGACACCATAAAAAGCAACTTAATTAGTAGTTCAATAACAAATTGTAAAGATAACCTTTGTTATTTGATAAGAGAGAGAAAATTCAGGTTACATATAGTGAATAAATAAGGAAATGTTAATCTCTGCGTCATTCCACACTGAAATTTCAATTGTAGGGGATCATTTGGAGGTGAATTGTGTAGGACACGGGGAGACAGAAGAATCTCCCCATGAGTTTTCAGTGTGCATAGAAATTGAGGAGGCTGAACTGGAAGCCTGCCTGGGTCGTTGTTTTTGTTTATTTGAGGGTCTGCTGGAAGTTTGTGAAAACGACCACCTTGATATGTGGGAGCCTTCCCGGGCAGCGATTTTTTGTTAAACCTGTGGCAGGCTGTGCAACATGGAGAAAGCTTTGACATAATGACATAAAGGTGATTTCGTGGTTTTAGATTTATTAGTACGGGATGCTTGAGGGTGTGTTGCTGTAAAGTATATAAGGGACGCGCAGCGCCGTTAATGGGTTTAAAATAAATGAAAAAACACTAATCCGAGGAACTATTGGAGAGGTAAGTATACGGAGATGAGCGCGTTGCGCATAAGGGTTGCTGGTGTCATATATTAACACTTTCAGGGCGAATAATTTTGATTGAGTGTCAACGCTTGAGAACGCGAGGACAGCGTCTAAAGTGCTGGGTTAAACTTTGTGTATCACCGAGCAGGGGAAGAGGAGCCAGTGGTTGCGAGAACAGCGAGACGAAGACTGAAACCGAAAGTTAAGCGTGTCTGGGTGACCTAGACCAAGAAGGAAGAGTCGACAAACGCCATTGGAAGAGGTAAGTCTGTGTTTCAGAGAATGGCTGACAGCTCGGGTGCAACACCTAGTGGGAAAAGGGGATGCAAACCTCTGAAGGATCAGCTTGAACAGCTTAAGAAAGCTATTCGTTTGGCTTCACCTGGAGCACTAAAATCAGCAGAGAAAGAGTGCCAAGCGATGGAGGTTGAGGTAAGCAAACTTATTACATCCCAACAGAAAGGGCTGGGTGATAAAATACCTCTGAGCTTGGTGTTAAAAACTGAAGGAGAAGTGTATGGACAAATGCATGAGGCCCTACGTGCGTCCATAGAGGCATTAACGGCATTGGAGGTTATAAAGCAGAGAGTAATGCAGGGAGGGCCAGAAGAGGAGAATGAAGACCGTGCGACGTCATCAGAAGAAGAAGACGATGAGGAGGACGAAGATGGAGGAGCTGAGCCCCAACCAAGTACAA